CAGCTTGGTCATTACTCCTCCAACAGTCTCAATACCAAGGGTCAGGGGGCACACATCCAGAAGAACCACATCACCTGCAAGTGAAGGAAAATGTTTAGGAAACAGGATCACATTTGAAAGCTCACCCCTGTTTCAAAGAATATCTCTAAAAGTGATGACTCACCAGTGTCCTCCTCTCCAGAAAGCACGCCAGCCTGCACAGCAGCTCCGTATGCCACAGCCTCATCAGGGTTAATGCCTCTAGATGGCTCTTTGCCATTGAAAAACTCCTTCACCAGCTGCTGGATTTTGGGGATACGGGTGGAGCCTCCAACCAGGACAATCTCATCAATGTCAGACTTCTTCAAGTCAGAATCTTCCAGCACCTTCTGTACAGGCTTCATGGTGGAACGGAACAGGTCCTGGGTTTTGAAGAACACACAGGTTAAAAAAGCTCGGTCAACAGTTTCTCCAATAGGGTTTGATATGCAATATTTTCAGAACCAAATTAATATCTTACCATGTTCAGCTCCTCAAACTTGGCACGAGTCAGGGTCTCAGAGAAGTCCTCTCCCTCAAAGAAAGACTCGATCTCAATGCGGGCTTGGTGCTGGGCAGACAGCGCCCTCTTGGCCTTCTCGACCTCGCGACGCAGCTTCTGCACAGCACGGTTGTCTTTGCGCACATCTTTGCCAGTCTTTTTCTTGTACAGCTTGATGAAGTGCTCCATGACACGCTGGTCAAAGTCCTCTCCTCCCAGATGAGTGTCACCGTTGGTGGCCACCACTTCAAAAACACCGTTGTCAATGGTCAGAAGAGAGACATCAAAGGTGCCACCGCCCAGATCGAACACAAGAATGTTCTTCTCTCCGTCCTTCTTGTCCAGGCCATAAGCAATAGCAGCAGCAGTTCTAAAGAATACAATGAGAGTTTATTAGAAGGGAGTGCAGAGATATTCTTTGGAGTTTCAAATTCATTTTGACTGGATGCTTACGGCTCATTGATGATTCGCATAACATTCAGACCAGCAATGGTACCAGCATCCTTAGTGGCCTGGCGCTGGGCATCGTTGAAGTAGGCGGGGACAGTGACCACAGCATGTGTGACCTGAGGAAAAAGGATCAAGTTAGATTTGATGATACACCATTTAATTAAAATTAACATTTTCACTGTTTTACAATCTCTGACTTTTTGTACCTTCTTGCCCAGGTAAGCCTCAGCAGTCTCCTTCATCTTAGTCAGCACCATAGCAGAGACCTCCTCGGGAGCAAAGGTCTTCATCTGACCACCACCAATGTCAACCTGGATATGGGGCTTGCTCTTCTTCTCAGTAACCTTCAGAGGAAAAAACATCAATATTAATTTAACAACAACTTCACTCAAACATGACCCAAAGAACAAGCAACTACAAGTTCTACTTTCAGTTTACAAGCTCACCTTGAAGGGGAAGTACTTGATGTCCTGCTGCACAGACGAGTCACCCCATGTGCGACCAATGAGCCTCTTGGCATCAAAGATGGTGTTCTCAGGGTTAGAGGTCAGCTGATTCTTGGCAGCATCACCGATCAGACGCTCACCTTCACTGGTGAAGGCCACGTAGGAGGGGGTAATTCGGTTTCCCTGGTCATTGGCAATAATCTCCACACGTCCATTCTTGAACACTCCAACACTGCAAGAAAACAGTTTGAATTTAGTCTGAATGCCATTTTATTCCACAGTGGCATCATGTCACTATTTAAAGATTTTAACGTGACTTGTTACCATGAGTATGTGGTCCCCAGATCAATCCCAACCACAGTCCCCACGTTGTCCTTCTTATCATCATCGTCGGCGGCAAACACTGTGCCGACCACCAGCATCACAACCCACAACAGCTTCATCTTTGTTTGTTTGTACTTAAATCTACAAGCAGATCTGCAGAAAAGAAATACAACGTAAGATATTAGGTGGGTTCAGCCTCCCAAGTTCCAGTAGCCAGGAACTAACGGTACTGCGTAATGTCACTTGCTGAGCTTGCAGACCCACGGCAGACTAAAAGTTGGTCTTGGCAAAAAAAAATATAACAGGAAAAATGAATTCTCGATAAAATAAGATGGATCACCAGTCAATAATTCCATCATTACCACCACCCCACTGCCAATTCCCCGGTATCTTGCTAACTACGCTACCATGCCTAGCAGACATGCAGGGGGAAACCACCATGCTAGAACATTCCAAACTACATCCTGTTTATTATATTCAGGTTACAGAGTATGTACAGTTCATTCAAACGACAGTAGTGTAGTTACATTTCAGCTGGTTTATTTGTCAATATTTCGCTTAACCGGTTTTATCTTAATAAAACATTTTGCAGAAAATGGAAAATACAGCTATGCTTCATTATCATATTCATATTAACGCTTTATACATACCTTAACAGAAGTACAACCAATGATTTAACGGCCTTTGCGTTTCCTCTACCGGTAAGAGTCGCTTAGAGCAAACTGTATCTCCTTCAAATCTTTACTTGTCTAGAATAACGCTGGACGAAATGTGGTCTCTCCATATATAAGCCGTCACTTCTTTCCCGTCGTGGAGGCTCGCGATTGGCTGAGCTGTTGCTCGTTGGAACACGCTGATTGGTTTCATTCAGCACGCTGGCCGCCGCTGATTTGCACACATCAGGTTGAAACGACGTCACCGTATGTGTCCACTGCGCCGACGCTGATTGGCTGTCTGGCAAGGGCAGTCCTGAACACAGTTGGTGCAGCTACATGCCACTCTCAAGGCCGGGTGGGTGCATTTCTCGCACTTCAGACATTTACAAATTTTTGCTGCAATAATTTTTTTTTTTGCAATGGCCCACCAAGTGTTACATTTGTAATCTTAATTTTGCGGTTTTAAGGCGTGTCATTACGAGGAAATAGTGATGCAATTGTGAGAAGTAATGACTAACTGCAATGAGTATGAAAATCCAAATCCTTTGTGTAATTGTGATGAATCTGACAGGAAATCTTGTACCAGGTGAACTGGGTTGTCTGGGTGTTTCCTCAGTGAATGTACAAGTCTTAGCCAAAGACTTCAGATACATGTGATCACACTGATTTCAATTTGGTTGGAATCTTTTGCACACATAAGAAGGTAACATAAACTGGCGCATTCAGTTGGGTTTCAATTCAATCAACAAGACAAATATTTGATTAAAAGGTCAAGGAAGCTGACTGCCACTGTCAAGATATGATCCTTGGCAAGTGTCCCAATATATTTCAGCCAAAATATAAGGCTATGATTTGGATATTTTAAAAACACATCAACTAATTGCAAGAATTTTCTAGAATCCAAAATCATTACATGGATAGAATCGATCTGCTTTCTCCTACTGTGATTTATCCAAATTCTTCTATTGACACACTGATATATTTCCAGAAGGTTCCTGAACTAAACCGGTTGTACTGTCAGGAAGAATGTAGAAAAGTCATAAAATTATAAAATATCAGTGTAGCAGCTAAGTTTTGTCTATTTGTTTTATTTATTTATTTACAGTGTTTCCCATAAAAACCATAAACACTTCTGTGTTTAGATTTAAAACCTCTTACTTAGTGGCCTCCAATTCTGATAATGTTTTATGGGAGAAAAACAACTGAACATCAGATTACAGTGTTTCATCTTTTTCTTTATTGTTTTAAGGTAATGCAACATGTTTTATTAGCCCTTTTCAGACTTTGCAGGGATTTCTACAGAATATTTTAATATTCTAATCAAAGGATACCCTCATTTTAAAGCTAATGCTGATGCACTGAAAGGCATATTGTTACAGAGAAGCCTTCAGTTCCTGATAGTAGAATTCATTATATTTTATTCAAGAAAATCTAAAAGATGCATTTATATTCTTTATAAGGTCCTTATACTGTCAGGCAGCTTACTATTTGTGTCATTCATATCCACTTTCTTTGTGTTACAAACAAAAGCAAAACTGACCTGTATACTTGAAAGACAATGATGACTCATTAAGACTTAAACTACACAGGGCAGTGAAACAAACCAGATGGAAAATTCTGAGTTAAATGTGTAATTTTCTTTGAATACAATTAAACTTTTTACTTGGACTGTTAAATCTGGTAAAAAAAAAAAAAAAAAAAAAAAGAGAGAGAGAGAGAGAGAGCGAGAGAGAGAGAGAGAGAGAGAGAGAGAGAGAGAGAGAGAGTTGGATATCATAATTAACACTAGGAGGAGCCATGTTGCTAAATCAAGGAGGAAGTGATCAGTATAGCCCTTCATACAGGTTATTACAATATAAGGACTACTGGCATTGTTTTCGCCTTGTGTTTGTTGTATGGAAACCCCTTTCTGATATGCTTTCTATTAATATGAATTAATAGATTGACATGTTGTAGAGTTTTTTTTCTCATATTTGTTTGTAAATAGTTTGAATGTCCCTTAAGGAGCCTGGAGAACTATTCTTTAAGACTATTTAAAGGAATGACAAGAAATCAGCCTAAGAGCGTTCTGACTGTGTGGAAGAATAAAGGTGGTCATTCCAAATAGAGACTTTCAAGCTTGTTTGTACAGAATTGTTAGAATTTTCCTTATATTCCATATTTTATTTTATGTAAGGTAGGATCAAGACTTTTTCCACAGTACTACACTTCATTACACCCGTGGTAAATTTACATATAACAAAAAGAAATTGAAAGAAAAAAGTCATTTTTCAAAATATATAATAAGATACGGTACATTTCTCTTTTTGTAATGAATGTAACCTACAAAATAATAGACTATATTTATCTTAATTATAGAGAAACACAAATGTAAAGTAGCAACAACTACAGACAATGAGAGCAGCAACCACATAACAAAAATGTTAATACATGTTGTCGTAAACTCTGTCGAAAATAATACTTTATATATTATATATAACAAAAGAAAAAAAACATGTTTCAGGCTAATTTATGTGAGGTTGTAGGCTCACGGCCATAAGCTGTATGAAGATGTTTTATGTTATGATAAGGGCACAGCTTGAGCTCTGCGCCACCTACTGGCTGAGACGCGTATGAGCGCCAAGCTGATGACGTGGATCGCTCAGTTGACCACCAGAGCAGCAGGATGGCCGACCAGAGTAGGCAAATAAAACTCGCTGCAGCTAAGAAAAAGGTAAAGTATTTTACAATCAACGCAGTCACATATCGCGGAAAGTGTAGTTCCCACTTTGTGTACACAAGTCTGTGTTAACTCTGTTTTCTTGTCTTTTCGTTATGTATATTTTTACGGGGCAAGGGTGTTGTCATTACACGTCGCCCGAGTACTGCACTGTCGCTTGTCCGACATCCTCCGCTCCTCTCGCGGCTCTGTTGCGTAGGAGAGACCGATGTTTTATCGGGGCCTCTGGTGATAGCATTAACTTTCCCAGATTATGTAGACTATTTTTAGTTAGTAGAGACACGCATAGTATCCCACGCTGTTTATTTACTCGCAGATTAACTTGCACCACTTGCTTGGCCGCTTTACTTGACTTTCCATCTGACATTTAAATGTAGTTAAAGCCTAACGTGCTAACCCAGGCAAGTTAACGTTAGCAAGCTAGCTAACTAGCTGATGAATATATGGCTACGTGTGAGTCTAAGGAATGTCGCACAGCAGCCAGCCAGCTTTTTATGTTATCTGCAGGATTTAATTTCATAAGAAAATGTCTAACAAACGGTAGTTTTAAAACAAAGCACTCATTGAGCTTGTAAGCTACCCCTGCAGCACAGTTAGCTGGATGGACTGACGGGGGTGTTTTGACAGCTGACACCCCTCTTCCCTGTCCTGCTGTGTGCTTTGGCTTGGTGTCTTTTTCGGCTAGTCAGAAAGATGGCCTTATCAGATTCAAGAAGTCACTCCTCAGCATTTCTTGCTGGCCCACAAGCTTCACGAATAAGTGGCCATGGTGACATGTCATTTTGCTGCTATTTAGCTTTACTGTTAAAAAAAACAACAACCAGCAGTTCCCGCTACACAGCTGTTAGAGCCCGCATAGAGCTTTCTGGCATGCTTTAACCGTCATATGCATATCATACGCAGGTTATCATTGTTTAGCGCAACTTACTAACTTGATCCGTCTGAAGCCGGATCTTTCTGCTAGCTGGTGCATTGTTTTGGAATAGGAGCACTGAATTCGTATTTTATTGCCTCATTCATTCAGCTTGATACGACGCTCAAGGTGTTGAGTGTAATTTGTTTGAATTAATATGTATAGTTGGGGACAGTTGCAGAGTCCTGGTATTATCTGTGTAACACGTGACAAAATAAATATATATTAGTAGACATTGTTCATCTGCACACGTTTATGGGTTTCTTCTCCATTTCCTACTCAGCTGAAGGAATTTCAACAGAAGAGCTCCCCTGCTAGTGTAGGAGGAGAAAAAGGAGGTGGAGCCAAGAAGAAGAGAAAGGTGAAGGGATCCAGCCAACATGATGCACCTTCACCAGACAGAAACTCTCCAGACAATGTAAGCATAACAGTTTGCTTTATTGTTGTTGTTGTTGTCGTCAAATGTCGTACTCTTTTTGTGCTTGATAGATGGTCATATGATGATTTGCTCTTTGAAGCTGCAGGGTGTTATATTTGTGTGTTTGGCTGAAGAGCATATATTGCTTTTTGCCAATTATCAGATCGGGTGGCTGATTTTCCATCTAGTTGGCATTTGCTTTACTTACACCTGTCAAATACACACACACAGGGCCAGCAGAGTAGAACTATTTAGACCTCTTTGCAGCGCTGATGACAGACATGTTTACCTAAGAAGAGTGTTGCACATGAGACAGTGTTTTTTAAGCCCCTGACCACAACTTTGGCTTTTACATATTGCAATATGTAGCATAAGGTAAGAATTTCAAGAACTAATATATAATTTTATGAGAAAGTATAAAGTAGTCCTTGTTCTGCTGCACAGATGAGCAGCATTCCAGCTAGAACCTGGAGCAATCTGAGCATGATGAACTGGCTGACTACTATCACCAGCTGCAGTCCAAGCTGCTGGAGTTGTAGCCAGTTTGGCTAGATAGGCAGCTGAATATATTCTGTTATTTGTCTCAAAACACTTACTATTTCCAATATCTTCAATACCACAATGTATATGCTGATTTTTAATAACTTATCCAAAAAAGTACTGGTGTAGCAACTTGCGTGCATATCAGTAACTCACTGTCCTCTACCCCTGTCAGTTTACACTTTATGTCATCTGCTTGTTTCAGCGTTCAGGTTCATCAGATTTTTGTTATAGAACATTTAATGGGAGTAATCATAAAATTACACTGACTAAAAAATGATAGGTTTTCAAGTCTCCTCTCCCGAGAATCCCTCTGTGAATATCAGCCAGTTCTCTACTCTATGCTGCTGCTTTAGGTTTATCCTGTGCTTTAGTAGCACTCTTTATACCTGATAAATAATAATTAATTCCTGATCTTCAAAGCGGTGACTCATTATTCAGCTGTTCATCCATCAGTTCATTTATTTCTTCTGTATATCTGTAGTTGAGCTGAGGTGGCTGCTGGGTATTCAAATTTCCTGTTTCCCTGGGATTTTCTTTTTCTGATTTTCATTACTCACTTGTTTTTCACCGTATTTGTACTTGTTTGAGTAAAAAACATAATTAATGTGCTAACAAGACCATTGCTTTGATATTTGTTCTGGTGATTTTTAAAAAGTACTGGCACAAATTGTGTTCAGCAAGTAACACAATCACATTCTTTGAGCTCACTTGACGGTCTACCAAGTTTTGGATTTTTTTAAGAACATTTTTTTGGTATTTACCGGTAATGTCATTTTGATTATTAATGTGGAACACCATCTTCTGCTGTGGCCTGTTTTCAAAGCTCTCTAATCAAATTAAAAGTACCCATGAGAATATGTGTAGTGCTTTCAGACAGCAGTTGCGCATGTGGCGAGAGTCTGCTCGACGACATTTGACCTGCATTTGGATACATTCGTGAGACAGCTGTCACCCTGCTTCTCGCTATTAGCAGAAACTCCAGTCTGCAGCATGCTTTCATACACTTCACATATACAACTGAGAGTTGCACTCAATACATCCAGTTGTTACCAGACAAAAGTTGCGTTTTCCTTTTGCTTTTCTATCCTAAAGCATGTTTCCTGTCTTGACTGCCCTCACATGCAACTTTTCCATCTCTGTTACACCCTCTCTTTTTTCACCAGCCAGTCAGCTAAATCTTAAACTTTGAATTTTTAGTGCAGTTATTGCAGTCAGACTATTTTATGCTGCTACTACTACGTTTGAAAAAAATAAATGCTGTGCTTTCCCCAAGCTGTTATTGTAATTGTTATTTAGTTTAAATTACTTTTTTCTCTTGTTAGTTGTTGTGGTTTTTAACAGAATAAAAGAGTCTGTACAAGTCCAGTCTACATTTACTGCCCTCTTGCATACTTCTAGACCTCCTGCTTGTAGAAATGGCTTCCCTGTGCTTGTTTGTTTACCACTCTGTCACTTTCTGAATTTTTCTCTCCCTTTTTCAATCTCTTTCTCCTCCTTTTCCTGTAGTTTGACAGTTTTCTAAAAGCACTTAGTCAAAGCAATGGAATAGTCCTCCCTCATTATGGCAACTGTCAGGTGAGCTTCTGTCCCTGGCTTTTCTTTCTTTGTTTCCTCCTGATTGTTTTTAATCGTTCTCTGCACCCCTCTGTTGTTGATGTTTGGTGTTTAATATTTTACCCTGCTTCTCTATTCTTACCTTCCTTCAACTGCAACGTTTTCTTTATGTCATGTTGAGCTGGAAGCATGAAAAAGAATTGTCTATAAATTCCTGCCTGTTATTGGTTTTAAATATATATCAGTTTATCGCAGCATTATTGGTGATCTTTAAATAATATTGCATTGCTTTGAATAAATAGTTTCCAGATTCTTGCTAGTTGCACGTTTCTGATGTCAATATCCATGTGTCATCTTGGTGTGTGTGTGTGTGTGTGTGTGTGTGTGTGTGTATGTGTGTGTCTTTATGTGGCAGATTATTGCTTGTACTGGATCAAAGCCACTGAAAACTGAAGCTTTATTTTGCCAAAACTGCATATAGCCTTAATATAGACTAGACATGCTGCAGATATTTCAGAGAGTCTACAATGGGTGGGATCAGTGGCAATGGGGCACCAGTACAGGAACTTCATTTTCAGTGGGACACCTTAATTACTGCTAGAAAGGTGTTTCTATTCATTTTTTACAGTCTAATTTCTTCTTGTCAGCTTCTGTACTCATCTAGATGTAGAAATGATAAAGTTAACAGAAAAAGTTTGGATAGAACACTAGTCTGGTGATTTTTATGCGTGTGTTGTGGTCTCTTTGCAGCTCAAACTGCTACTTCTCTGTACGTTTAAACCCGTGTGTGCATTTCTGTGTATGTGTCGCCTCAGACCTTTGCTGACGTGGAGGCCGTGAGGTCTTCAGCTCAGCTGCTGGAGGAGTCAAACAGCGAGCCTGATTACATCTCACCTTTGTCTAACCCCGCTAGCGCTAACACTGCTACTAACTCTGAGTCTGTCGATCACAACACTGACCTCCAGGTGTGTCTCTCCTATGTTTCTCTTTCCTTCTCAGTCTTGAAAAATATATTTTGTCCTGTCATTGTTGCACCACACGGCCATAAAACTGCATTGTCATTCTAAGCATCAGTGTGAACAGTTCCTTTTTCATTTGCTGCATTTGTATTAATTTATACATGTTATAATAGGAACAACAGTGTCAGCACAGGCCATTTATGTGACTTTTTTATTATTATTATTTTTTCTATTACACATATTCCTCTCTTTATCAAATGTGCTGACTGTCTCCCTTTTATCTATATTTGTCGCTTATGCTCTCTGTTTTCTGCTTTCAATTTTTGTCTCCCTGCAGGATTACTCTGATACCAACGGCAACGAGAATTCAATGGAGGAAAATAGGTGGGTTCTGTCATAGAATCGTGATTATATATCTATGTATCGGTAATTAAAGAGAAGGGTATTGAAGGGGGACTGTTCTGAACTATGACATGTTTACAGTTTGGAGACAATAGATTATTTTCAAGGGCAGGCACTTGCTGTAACATCCATGTTCTGAAAGCTTGGTATCCCACACATCATTACATAAAATATATGTGTGTTTTGAACTCATGGATTATTATAATATATGTATCTTATAGAATGAATACAGCAAGCAACACTTTTTCCAGTATACCTTTTTTTTATGTAGCCGTATGCTAGCTTATAAAGTGAAGTGGTTCATGTAAGCTACTGAGTGTTTGTTGATGTGTGTGTCCATGTCATCCTGCAGGCCGCTGTCTTCCACAGAGAGCCTGCGACAGCTCTCGCAGCAACTGAACGGCCTGGTCTCTGAGGTACGCACACTTCTTTCACACAGAGTTCGGCTTTTAACAATAACACACCACCACTACCACCACCGATGTGGCATTTTAATCAGGAAGCGTTGCGTCTATTCTGGGTAGGAATGCACTGAAAGCATTTTCAGTTTCGCCAGTCATTCCCAGTGGTCTGAAGCACGCTGACAGCATCAACTGGTGCACTAAAATAGTTTGATAGATCTTCTTTTAACTTTAATTTTGTTAGGTCAAACCACAAACATTGCTTTTTCTCAGGTTTCTAAGACCGTTTCAGGTGAATTCTTGTCATGTTTTTACTAAAGTGCTGTTTCCCATTGTGGTGAAGTAGATGTCCTACTGTGGATGACGAATCAGTTTTTTATCTGCAGTTCATCCACTATATTAAACACGTTTAAAGTTTCTCCTATGAATTGCAACAGAAACGGTGCCACAGATTCCCTGACAATGCTTATTTACCTTAAAACATCTGATATTTTTCTGTGTGGGAAGCACATTAATGTCTGCCTGGATGTGTCTTTTAGTCATCTGCTGCATATGTGAATGGAGATGGCGCACCTCCTCTGAGTGAGCGAGAACTAGAGGTAAGAAGAAGAAACTTTTTTTTGTTGAGTTTTTGACATTTCAAGCCTGAATTACAAGTCACTTAACTCATACAGTAGTATCCAAAAGCCATGCAAGTGGAACAAATGAGTTTCCAAGATTAATGAAGGTATTCTAATATTACCCCCCCATTGTTTATATAACTGGTAAGTCATCTTTATGGTGAGGAGTATAGTAGAAGTTCAGATATCCAGCAATATTGTTGCAGAGACTTTGTATGAAGGAGCAGGTCTTACAAGTGACACTTTAATAGGTTTGTATGAATGCTCCTCTCCTTCTCAACTCGCTCCATTTATCAGTTTAATAGCCATCACATGTTTTATTTAATTATTTGATCCACTTCTCATTATTAGTAGAACATATGCACTAGTTGTCATGGTGCTATTTTTGCCTCCATGTTAATAATTCACATTTAAATTTTCTCCTCCTCCTCCCCCCATGTGTTCTTTGTTTGACTTTTGCCACTGCACTTTATTCCTCTCTTTTGTTTTCTTTTTTTTTTTTTTTTCCCTTTTCCCTTTCCTTACCCGGATGCATGCGTGCACGTGATAGAGTCGAAACCAGGAGCTGGCAGCCGCCCTGGAATCCAGCAACCTAACAAACTCTCAGCTCACTACCAAGCTAGACCAGCTGGTAAGAAGCTGTGTGTATGCATAATCATGTGCACATCTTTGTGTGATTGCAGTAACACTCGTCTCCCTCTGCCCCTAATCACTCTTATCAGTGCATGCATTTTAATGCATTCTTCATGTCATCTTGAGTAACCATAACCTTTAAAAAGAATTATGGTTGGCATGGTTTTAGTGGTATTTATTTATTTTTTTTGTTTTGTTAGCTTAACTAAAATTTCTTCAGAGAATTAACAACGGCAGCATGATTGATCCTTTCTGTGCACCTTGTGACCAGAGCAGTCATAACCTGATAGTAGATGCAGGATTGTGTGGCATTTTGAGTTTAGCAATATAACCAGAGCTCCAAGCTTTAAAACCACATGAAAGATTAACAAAACATTAATAACAGAATAGGTTTACTATTTTAGTGCTCGGTGCTATTATTGTCCTGTCTGGCATGAACATGAGGTCTGTGCCAGAATTTTGGTTATGTTTTATAGGCTAACACTGTGTAGCACTGCTGTGATGATTAAAAGTGTGTATATACAAGACTTTTCCCCAACTTAAATATATATCCTGTTGGTCTGGCAGACACAGCAATCTCAGGAGCTTACAGATCAGCTACAAAAGGTATTTTTGTTCTCCTCTTTTTACCTTCTATTTGTATCTGTGTAATTCTTTATTCTCTTTGTTATTGTAATGTTTTGCTCTTTGTTATTAATCAACTTTATTTTTTTCTTTCTTCAGGAGCGAAAAGAATTTGAACAGAGATTTTCAAAAGAGCAAGGCGCCATGCGGGAGCAATTACAGGTACATTCACTTACCCAAATGCATAAATTTAATTTGTCCTATGGAGCAACTTTATTTGTCACTTAATAGTGTCGTTGTATTACAGTGTGATGTGGCAGTGCATAATGCCAGAGTGCACTGAGTTGCACTTGTATAAAATGTTATCCAACAACATACACTGCCCTTTTTAACACTTCCTATATTGTTAATTAACTCTAACAAGAGTAAATAATCTACTGTGTGTAATTACTCTGAGAAATTAGAATTTTCTGTATGTTTCATTAATCAGGTCTTGTTAGTGAAGTCAGCTGACTTTATCTAGTCTTATATGAAGAATGGTGCTCTTTGTTCGTATGTCCTCTTCCAAGGTTCATATCCAGACCATTGGCATACTAGTAGCAGAGAAATCGGAGCTACAAACAGCACTACAATACACACAACAGGCTGCACGGCAGAAAACAGGTGTGTGTGTTTGGGGGGAGGGGGTTTTATTTTTTTAAATAATAACCTTGGCAATGGTTTATCGCTGCAGCAGTTAACGGTGTGTATGTGTGTGCCTCTTTCTCCTTGTATGTGTGTGTGCATGCATGTTAAGCTGAGGCAGAGGAGCTGAATAACCGTCTGCAATCAACAAAGCAGAGAGTGTCAGAACTTGAAAGAACTCTCTCTTCTGTCTCATTGCAGCAGAAACAGTTTGAAAAGGTAACAGCCAATCCAGCAATCACTTGCATATGAGTAATGCAAATGCAAATAAATGAACTCGTAAGAAGGCAGTGTTACCTAATTTAGCTGATCGCACGTATTGTCTGTGTGGTTGTTTTTAATAGGTTTCTATGATGTTTTTGTCTTGCTGAGTCTTTTTTTTTTTTTTTTTTTGTCCTCAGCACAACAAAGAGCTTGAAAAGGAAAGAGACAATCTGAGATTGGAGGTGTTTAGACTAAAGTAAGTCATTTTATCCTGACTTGCCTGAGGAGATTTTTTTTGTATGGTCTTTGTATTTTGAATGCTTTGATTCTTTGTAATGGAAGAGTTGGCTTGAACAGGTTTCCCAAGTCTTGTCTGGATATGGCGAGTTTAAAATAAACACTGAATTTGTTTGTTCACAGCAATTTGAGTGAGGAGTCGAAGCAGCAGAGCTCGGAGCTGTCAGAGCAGATAAAACTGAGTACACAAGAAAATGCCGCAATGAAGTTGGAGGTAGAAGATCTTCGCAAGAGGCTCGAGATAACTGACCTCATGTTACAGCAGGTGTGTTGAATTCCAGGAAAACACCGTTCATTCACGTATGAATTCATCTTTCTCCTACCACATGCTGGAAGTAGTGGCACAACTCCAGAGTCAATGTCTAGGAGGCCAGTGTTTGAATATTGTATGGCCGACAGTAATTCTAGTTTTCCTACTAATTTCTTCCAGTGCTCAAGTCAGTCAGATCCTACCAGTGCCAGCCAGCAGGTTCAGTTACTGCTGGAAGAGAAGCAGCAGGTGGAGGCGCACAATCACCAGGTTTACATGGACCTTTGTCTTATCATTGGCTTCTGTGTTTGACTGCTGTCTGTGTTAATATTCAATATATTTTGTACCTATTCCATTACTGATTAAGTAATATAGAATAGTTAAAAAAAGAAGACTTAATTATTATTTTTTTATTTACATTTGTGATGATGTAGCTTATGGAGTCCATTGCGCAGCTGAAGACAGAGAGGGATTGTTATGCAGTGCAGATCCAGGAAGAAGGTCGTGTGTGGAAGGACAAAACTGAACAACTGCTAACACAGGTACAGTAACATCAGCATGGCTTATGGTTTCACTATAGCTTTGAATAAAGAGCGAAAATGGTAGTGCTGCTTCTTTTGTGTGGGTTTTTTGTTTGTTTATTTTTTTGTATTTAAGCCTTGTGTGTGTGTGTGTCAAGGTTTCTCTGGTGGGTGTGTGTGTGTTGTGTTGTGTGTGTGTGTGTGTGTGTGTGTGTGTGTGTGTGTGTGTGTGTGTGTGTGTCAAGGTTTCTCTGGTGGCAGAAGAGAGGGATAGAAACATCAACCGGGTGCAAGAACTGGAGGCCAGCATTGCAGAGTTAAGAAATGCTGCAGGTGAGTAGTGCACACAACCCTCATCTAGTGCCTCTTCCTTTTCCTCATTAGTTTTCATGTCTTCTTAATGTGGCAAATATCAAGAAACACAAAAGTCAGAAGGAGAGCAGATGGGGCTGCAGTTTCGGGATTAACATTAGCCCCATTGTGTGTTTATTGTCAGGTCTTCCTGCTTATAACCTTGTAAAATATTATTTTAATGTTTAGTTTAGCATATATGTTAAAAACATATCAAATATAGCATTCAAAATACTGGCCATATGTGACACAGCTGCAGTATTTGTGTTTAGTAGAATTAGAAATCTTGATAAATGGTGTTTTTTCTCTTCTAGCGTTATTTTCCCAGGAGAGAGAAGCTCAGCATGGCGCAGAGCATCAGTCCTCAGGACCATCAGAAAATGAAGTGGCTTTGCAGGAGGCCCTTAATGCCCTACAACAAGAGAAAGATGCCATTACGTCACAGTATCAGGCACAGGTGTGCTTCACATTGTTTTCTCCAAACCCATTTTAATGGGTTAATGTGACTCATATATAGTTTCATATACACTTAAAAGGAGCACATATTGATTTTTCCCTTTCTGGATGTTTCAAAGAGAGTTGGTGCTTTCATTGCACCTCTTACATTTGAAGTGTGTTAATCATCCTCTGTAATACTTCCACAGCTGAGGGACAACGAGCAGCTGAGCCGTATGTGTGCAGAGCAGGAGTCGCGTCTGGGGGAGCTGGAGCGTCAGGTGGAGAGCCAAACCCAGGAGGCTGAGGACCGCCGACGCATGCTAGAGGATGTTCAGTCAGACAAGGCCACTATTAGCCGTGCTCTCACCCAGAACCGAACACTGAAGGACCAACTGGCTGAGCTACAGAACGGTTTTGTCAAACTGGTGAGGCTGAAAATCTTACTATCTGTTTATTTTTAGAGGACACCCTTAGTTACCACTATAACTGCCTTATTTTTGCACCACAGTGCTCACAATTCTACTTTTTCTGCTGGTCTTTAATTTCATAATTTCCTTTTTTCTCTTTGAATTTATGCTCTCATAATCTGTTTTGGGTTGTTTTTTTTGTTTGTTTGTTTGTTTGAAACCAGTGTTGGTCAAGTTACTTGAAAAAAGTAATCAGTAACTAATTACTGATTACTTCCCCCAAAAAGTAATCCTGTTACTTTACTGATTACTTATTTTCAAAATTAATTAATTACATAGTTACTTAGTTACTTTTTAAAAACACGATTTACAACCTGAAGAGGTGATAAAGCGATAGATCTTTCAGCCCAATTCTACTTTTTCTGCATAATCCATCATACAAAATGTAATCAAATGGAAAAGTCTCTTTTTTAACTTGTTTTATTAGTTTTAATCTTTTAACTTTATGCATCAAGCAAAAATTTAATTATATGCAACATTCTCTGACTTGAATAAATTAGTTTAACATTTAAACCTATTTTCTGCACATTCCAGCACATAAAATAAAATATTTTTTGTGTTTACACTCACTCTTTCAAATAGATGCAAGTAAAACACAGCAGAAAATAAATAAAGTCAAAGACTCAGCGGTCCTGTTGCTCTATTTTCACCTGTAAAGCAGGAGTGGGTAGGCGGAGGTTTACCCTGGTGCAGGTGTGCCGCGGTCAGTGGAAGAATCCGCGAGTTTCTCTGTGAGTTTCCCATTACGTCGTAGCTACTCGGTGCTTGCTTGGAAGTTTAGGGGTTTTTTTCGCTGTAAAAAGAAGTTTTCTTCCCACGCACAGCGGACACTAATGTTTTTGTCACTTTTTATGGAATCAAACTCAAAATAAGGTCAGTACTTCCACGCTTTAAACGCTGCACGCTCATACTCTCTCCCACAATCGATATGTGATCCATTGTTGATGGCGCACTCGCTTACGTCACTGTTTGTGAGACATTCTCGCAAAAAATCACGGTTTTAGTAACGCAGTAACGCAGCGTTCCTACGGGAAAGTAACGGTAATCTAATTACCGTTTTTGCAATAGTAATCCCTTACTTTACTCGTTACTTGAAAAAGTAATCAGATTACAGTAACGCGTTACTAACACGTTACTGCCCATCTCTGTTTGAAACAGAGCTGTGTTTTGTTAGTAAGTATCTGATTGACCTCAGTGGTGCTTGACACGTCTGTCTTTAAACCGAAATTCCTGTTACTCCTTCAATCTAACAGACGAATGAGAACATGGAGTTGACTACAGCCATCCAATCAGAACAACATGTGAAAAAGGAGCTTGCACGCAGAATGGGTGAATTGCAAGAGGAGTTGCACAACGTCAAGGAGCAGGTGAGGTCACACACAGCACTCCCCTAAAGCAAACACAGATGAAAAGTCAGCTGAATATGCACTCACTTGCTGTTTGTCTTCATGCTTTGTCCTCTTCTATTTTCTTGCCTCCAGCTTGAGCTGAAATGTACAGAAGCTCAGGGTCTGATGGAGCAGAGGGATCAGGTAGCGGCACATCTCCAGCAGTACTGTGCTGGCTACCAGGCCCTGGTCTCAGAGAGGGAACAACTTCACCAACAGTATCTGCAGCAGAGTCAGCTAATGGACCGACTACAGCACGATGAAAGCAATGGCCGTGCACAGCTGGAAATGAGTCACAGTCAGCTTAAACAAGCCCATGTATGTATATAAGACCTTTTTAATATATACATCTGTGACCAGTCTGTGTAGATGGTGTTGTGATTCTAGAATTCAGTACAATAATACATTACAATATAGAACATAAAGTATGTTCATATTCATCCTGTCAGCTGAACTGCTGTGGTAAATCTGTCAGGCCTGATAGTTCTGAGGGGGATTAGTGCAGCTTTGAGCTGTACTAATGATTATTGGGACACTTTGCAGCAGTTCGCTTGGCCATCGTGTTTAATGCTTCAGGGTGTTGCTCCTTCTCGGGTTTCCTAACTTAATGGATTCAGCACTTAAGTTAGGCCCATTCTGTTGCCTCTGTACATGCCATTAGAGAGAAGGTGGAGTGGAAAGGCAGAGCTGGTATTAGTGTTTTTATACTGCAGAAAATACGTTTTGAAATGATTTCAGATTAAGGTATTTTTATGCATAGAAAAATTTATAATTTTGACATGACTGTTTTAATATGATCTAATCTATACTGGCCGTCTTCAAGGAAATCTGCAGTCTGTTTTTATTATTTATTTATGTTTTTCCTTAACACTCTCAAAAACACACTCTAATTGTTTTTCGTTACTGCTTCTTCCTGCAGGAGCATCTGGAACAGTTAGTCAGAGACAATGAGCAGCTGAAAGCTGAGGTGAAAGAGCTGCTCAACAGCTCTGCTCTTATGACATCACCCAGAGACCAAGGTAATCTCTCTGTTACTGACAAGTTTGCACTTTCTGCCTTGTTTTCCTTTGGTGAGAGATTTCCTGCAATTTAAAAATAATTATCTCTAAAGTTATAATAGTATAGTGGCTTTATCCTGTCTCTTTTTAAATAACAGTGTCACAATTTCTTGATTTGAAGCAGATAATATGTTGTTACAGGAGAAACTGCAGATTAAGGCTAATCTGTTCAAAATGAAGAAGTGCAGTTTTGTTTTTTTTGTGTACTAGCAACAAAAATGGAAAGCATTAAGTGCTGCTGCACCATGTGTTTCATTAGTGTGATAGGTTTTTAAGGAATTAAAAAACAGTTGTACATGTCATATCATTTTAGGAGATGGAGTGGAAAGCCAGTCCCTGCAAGAAAGTCCAACAAAGTCTTCTCCCATAGTTATTCCAGAGGATTTTGAGAGCCAGAAAGAGATGGTAAAGAGATGTTTCCAGCTCATGCAAATGTTCTGTTTTTCTTTCGTTTACAGTCTTTTTATTTTTTTAATATCACATCTTAGTCTAAAGTTCATATTTTTATGTCCAGTGCCATTCTATGGTGAATTATATGGTTTAATTTTATGGCATGAAACAAAAGTATGACCTTACCCTCATTTCTATTTCGTGTTGCCTTGCAGGAGGATTTTATTCGTGGAGCTCTGGCTCAACTGGAGGCAGAGAGAGACGAGGCCAGAAGGCAACTGGAGGAGGAGCGCAGGCTTCACATAGCAGCCCGGCACCAGGCCAGCGTCACCCTAAGTCTGGAGCAGCAGCGCCACAGCCAAACACCTGTTAATGACCACGAGCACGGTCACAGTCACGGTCAACACAGTCACTGTGAACACAGCCATGAGCATTCAGGTCAGAAGCATTTGTGCTTGTGCAATTTTGCAGATCTTTCTACAACTAAAAGGCTTAAATTCTCTGGAGAGTAACAAGTGTGTGTGCCAGTTTACTCTTTTACTCTTGTTTATTTTCGTGCCATGTAAACAGTTTTTCCCCCCTTTCCGTTATTGCTTGAACAGAAGGAGGAGTGCCAGTGGAAGTTCATCAGGCCCTGCAAGCTGCAATGGAGAAGCTGCAGCAGCGTTTCACATCCCTAATGCAAGAGAAAGCAGACCTGAAGGAGAGGGTGGAGGAACTGGAGCACCGCTGCATCCAGCTGTCTGGAGAGACTGACACTATAGGTGAGTGTTTTATAGGTTGTTGTTCTTAGTCCTGTTTCATATGTAATCATTTGGTCCTCATATTCATTTCTGTTATGTATATTTTTGCAGGCGAGTATATTGCTCTGTACCAGAGTCAGCGGGCTATTATGAAACAGAAGCATCAAGAGAAAGAGCAATACATCAGCATGCTGGCCCAAGACAAAGAGGAGATGAAGGTACTGATGTCTTTTAACGCAGAAGGAATGTCACAGTAATATCTTTAATGCAATATTAATGAAAACAAAAGACATGACAAAATATGCAGGTGCCTAAGTTTTTGAAGATTGTTTGCACAGACAAAAGTCTTTCTTCCTTAGAACACTTTTCTCTCTCACATCTTAAAGTTTTACCTGGTCATCGCTAAAAAAGTGTGCCATACTTAACATGATTGTTGTCCTTTGTGTCCACTATTTATCCCTTCTGCCCAATAGGCAAAGCTGGCTGAGCTGCAGGATCTTGTGATGAGGCTGGTAGCTGAGAGGAATGATTGGTACAACCGCTACACTGGAGCTGTAGCCGGCATGGGCACAGTAAACCCTGACCTGCTTCCTGTTGGACAGGAACACACTCACCCAGACCACCAAGCACACACGCACACAGAGCTTGATGCGGCCACTGGAGCAGGTAAGCAAAACCAGTTATGCTAATCATGATTGTTTTACAGCAGGTGGATTTTAAAGACCAAATATAAACATACCCACACTTCCACACAACCCCACAGGTAGGTGAGTTTGATCCTGTCTATTTTGTTGGGATATTTGTGTGTACAGTGAAGCTTATTTTAAACTCATAGTCCTGGAAGACTTTATCCACTGATGTGTGAGTCTGAAAGGCAGAAAGAGTGGTCCTTTAGCGCTTCAACTGTTCTGCCTCTTTTTCAAAATATATTTTAATTCATATTTCCAATAACATCACTGTTCTGTACCTTTTTTTTTTCTCTGCTGCATAAGCTATGGAGGACATCCCTCTGTCAGAACCTGCCGCCGGTCTGGAAGCTTCCTCATCCCAGATGCTGTTGACTGGATCTGGCCAGACTGACTCCAAGCCCCTGGTGCCTAAAGAGGACGCCACAGCCCAGCAAATCATGCAGCTGCTTCAGGAGATCCAGAACCCTCAAGGAGCTCAAAGATCACCCCCTTTTCTGGGAGAAAACCCCTGCATCCCCTTCTTTTACCGGCCTGACGAACAGGACGAAGTAAAGATCCTGGTGGTGTGAGATGTGGGTGTGACTGCGTAGGGGTGTGTGTGTGTGTGTGTGTGTGTGTGTGTGTGTGTGT